AGTTTACATTGATGGAAAAGCTCGAGGTTGTAGAGTTCATGATCTATTGCACGACGTCCTCCTTAAGAAGGGGTTGGATTCGAGCTTTTGTCATGTGTTATCAAAAGACGAGTCGACTTTTAAACCAACAACTCGACGTCTCTCAATGGACATCAGTCCCTCTGAGGCCCTGGGAGGCATTACACAATCTCATATTCGTTCCGTATTTACTTTCAACCTAGAAGAATGGCCCGAGTCTTTTCTTCATACATTGAGTGGAAGCATTAAACTTCTGAAAGTATTGGATTTCCTGGATGCTCCAATCAATCAACTTCCGAAATATGTGGGGGATTTGTATCTCTTGACGTATTTAAGCCTGAGGAATACAAAGGTGAAGTTGCTTCCAGACTCCATAGGCAATCTACAAAACTTGGAAACCCTGGATCTAAAACAGTCTCTGGTGTATGAAATACCAGCCAAGATCAATAAGCTTGTTAAGCTGCGGTATCTTTTGGCCCACCATTGTGACCACAACTACGACGTGGGTTTGTTGTTGAATATGGAAAATGGAGTGAAGATACATGAAGGTATTGGATGCTTACAAGCTTTGCAAAAACTGTCCTATGTGGAGGTGAATCATGGAGGGATCAGGCTAATCAAAGAACTGGGAAAGTTAAGACAGCTGCGGAAGTTAGGCCTAAAAAACTTGAAAAGTGAAGATGGAAGGGCTGTGTGTGCTTCTATTGAAAAGATGAACCACCTTGAATCTCTACGTTTAACTGCAATAAATGAAGATGAAGTCCTTGATCTAGAATCCATTTCAACTCCACCACAATTTATTCGTTCTCTTGGCTTGACAGGGCGTTTAGGGCAGTTGCCAGGTTGGATTTCAAATCTTCAACACCTCGTCAGGATAGGCATTGTTTGGTCAAGGTTAAGAGATTCAAGAGATTCCCCACTAAAAGCCCTTCAAAATCTTCCTAATCTGTTGGAGCTATTGTTGTATATCAATGCATATGATGGTGTGCAGCTGCATTTTGAGGAAGGAGGATTTCAGAAACTTAGGAAGCTACATCTCAGGGAAATGATGGGACTAAATTCGTTGATCATAGACGATGGTGTCATGCCTCTTCTCCAAGAGTTTCACATTGGACCTTCCCCACAATTGAAGGAGGTGCCCTCTGGCATCCACCATCTCCGAAATCTGACAAATCTTTATTTCTATGACATGCCAAAGGAGTTCGCGCGACAAATGGATCCAAAAAATGGCCAACATTATTGGATTGTTGAACATATACAAAATGTTCGTTTTTGTAACAATGACGGACAAAGATGGGTTGCATATGAAACTCAAGCCCTGCGTGATTCCAACTTTTCTCTTTGGTTGAATGCTTGATTCCAACTTGTGAAACCAAGCATGGGAATGGGACATGTTTTGGTTAAGAGTTTGGTTGTTAGCTCTGTATCCTAGTTTCTCTTGCAGGTTGACTGGGAGGGGGCTCTTTCTCTTCTGTTTTCTTTTTGTCGTCCAATCGTATTCCTAGCATTTTCCTTGTAATTTTATTGGTGGCTGCAATAAAAATATCCTATCTAATTAATTTTCTCTAGGAAAATGATAAACTGTATGCTCTTTTTAACCTTACTTTGATAATTGAAGTTAAAATATTAAATTTTTACTATTTTTTATCTTACCAATTCTTTACTATTTTATATTCTTTATGTTAATTTGTAATCTCTAAGATATTTTGTTAATCAAAGGGTAGATTTTGTGGATTATAGAAATTTCATGAATCATGATTGAGCCTTCTCTTTTTGTATGCACAGAATCTGTGGTTTGATTAAAAAATAAAAAAATTAAGTACAAGATGTAAAGGTCAGGACATACGGCCTGATCATTCTTGACACGACCCGATAACCTGACACGACACGACAAGAAATTAACAGGTGTTCGGGTCGACACGATAACGAATCGGGTCGTTATTGTGCAACCCGATAAGCACCTGTTAAGATAAACGGGTTGGTTTAGGTATATACGTGGGTAACACAATACACGATAAGCAAAATATTATTTTTATATTTTTATAACACTAAAAAAATATTATATATATTATATATATTAATTTAACAATTTTATACCCCTAAAAACCACAATAATTATATATATATATATATATATATTAAATATTAAAAATTGGTGACCACTAGATTGGTTTAAATATACATATCATTCAATTTCTTAAGTGTTATATATACAAAATAAATAAATTTAAATCTACTTAATAAATATATATATATATATATATAGACACCATTGAACTTGATGGGATACAAATTCTACGAAACTAATTTGAATGATCCAACCGTCAAACTTGTTTGTATATGCATCGAGATCGCATCAGCAAAAAATCGCAAAAAAGAAACATTCAGAGATTAAGTAACGAGACAAACTTTTCGACGATTATCAACGAAAAATTACGATTTAACGGTTATTTTAACTCCGATTTTGATGATTTTTTATAGCTACACTCCTTGACCCTATATGAATATAATGAATGAACTCGATCTTCAATTTAAAATATTTACAGTAGTTGATACCACAAAATCTTATGTTATACTTAATGAAAGTATGAATAAACTCTTAAGTGTTAGTGAATCTATTATTTTAATGGGATACGCATTCTACGAAACTAGTTTCAACGATCCAACCGTCAAACTTGTTTGAATATACTTCAAGATCGTATACGCCAAAAATTGCAAAAAATAAACATTTAGATATCAAGTAACGGGACAAAAATTTTCGACGGTTATCAATGCAAAATCACGATTTAACGGTTATTTTAACTCCGGTTTTGATGATTTTTTATAGTTACACTCCTTGATCCTATATGAATACAATGAATGAACTTGATCTTCAATTTAAAATATTTACACTAGTGGATACCACAAAATCTTATGCTATACTTAATGAAAGTATGAATAAACTTTTAAGTGTTAGTGAATCTATTGTTTTGATGGGATAGACATTCTACGAAACTAGTTTCAACAATCCAATCGTCAAACATGTTTGTATATGCTTCGAGATCACATATGCCAAAAATTGCAGAAAACAAACATTCAAAGATCAAGTAACGGGACAAAACTTTTTGACGGTTATCAACAAAAAATCACGATTTAATGGTTATTTTAACTCTGATTTTGATGATTTTTTATATCTACACTTCTTGACCCTATATGAATACAATGAATGAACTCGATCTTCAATTTAAAATATTTACAGTAGTTGATACCACAAAATCTTATACTATACTTAATGAAAGTATGAATAAACTCTTAAGTGTTAGTGAATCTATTGTTTTGATGGGATACACATTCTACGAAACTAGTTTCAACGATCCAACTGTCAAACATATTTGTATATACTTCAAGATCGCATACGCCAAAAATTGCAAAAAACAAACATTCAAAGATCAAGTAATGGGACAAAACTTTTCGACGGTTATCAACGAAAAATCACGATTTAACAGTTATTTTAACTCCGATTTGGATGATTTTTTACAGCTACACTCCTTAACCTTATTTGAATACAATGAATGAATTAGATCTTCAATTTAAAATATTTACCCTAATGGATACTACAAAATCTTATTTTATACTTGATGAAAGTATAAATAAACTCTAGGCGTTAGTGAATTTATCGTTTTGATGGGATACGCATGATTTCAATGATCCAACCGTCAAACGTGTTTGTATATGTTTCAAGATCGCATACGCCAAAAATCCCAAAAAACAAACATTCAGAGATCAAGTAACGGGACAAAACTTTTCAATGGTTATCAACGAAAAATCACGATTTAACGGTTATTTTAACTCTGATTTTGTTGATTTTTTACAGCTACACTCATTGACCCCATATGAATACAATGAATGAATTCGATATTCAATTTAAAATATTTACACTAGTGGATACCACAAAATCTTATGTCATGATAATCGATGAAAATTGAGGATTTTGTAAAAGGAATTACGTGCAAGCTTTGAGTTCCATTGGTAAGGTTTAAAATTTTGAGAAAAGTTTCACAACCTTGAAAACAAAAACTCTTTCATTTTACATATCCTTGCACATTTAATATTTTGTAATAGACTAGTAGTGTATGGATATTTATTTATTAGGCTCTTGTTTTCAAGTGTAGATGTAGTACTTAAGCGACAAATGTGCTTTAATGTGTTGAAGTAATATTTATGTGGTAATGTGTGGTATGTGCAAATTTAAGGAAAAAAATACATTTTTTTTAACGGGTCATAACGGGTCGGGTCACTTTATCCATTGGGTAAAGTGACCTGACCTGTTAAGGACCCGTTAAGATAACAGGTGTGACACGACACGATCCGTTAAGATAAAAGGTGTGACATGACACGACCCGTTAAGATAAAAGGTGTGACATGACACGACCCGTTAAGATAACATGTGTTACACGAAAACAACATGAACACGACAGAAACGATCCGTTTGCCAGGCCGCGGAGTGGATCCCACGATTTCAAAATTCTGGAGCGGAGGAACGTTTCCCCCAAACTTGGGCGCTAAAAAAAGTCGTCGTCCTCTGTCTTCGTCGTGTTTCCCTTTCTGGCTGAGTTTGCCTTCTTAAACCAACCCGAAATTCTCGCCCCCATACAAATATTCAAATCTTCCATTTCTTCCCTTCACAAATTGCCAATTAGGGTTTCACATTGACCTTGATCAAAACTTCCACGTACATATATATTTATATATAATCTCTCTCTCCCTGTGTTTCTGAATTTTGATTTCCCGGGAAAGTTTCGAACCCGCTTCTTCGAAAGTCTCCGAAAGCTTTTCGACAAAAGAAAAATCCAAAATATTTGTGATGTAAAAAAGGAAATAAATTTTAAAACACGCATGGAATTGGCTGGTTCATTTGCCTGAAAGTTGGTTCAGGTAGGGAGAGATGGAGGGAGGGAGGGGAGAGAGAGATTGAGGGAGGAGAGAGAGAGATGGACGAAGAAATGGTGGAGTTCGCGAGGGAGGCTTTCGAGGGGGATGAAATTGACATGGACTACGAATTCGATGCGCCCAAGTTCTACGACTTCACTAGGCCGGAATCCGATTGGGAGGCCGAGGAGGCGGAGGAATGGTTCCGGTCAGCCGGAGGCTATCAGCCCTCGCGTAAGCGATTTCCAGAACATTTGTTTGTTGGTTTCTTATCATGTCCCAAAAACAATGAATTTTGGATCATCTCCTATGATTACCACATTAATAATGATCGTTTTCTGCTAATTAATTTCAACATCTACATGTTTAGTTCATGCATTTTAATTATGTTACGTTGTTTTATATGAAAAGATTAGAGATTAATTGAATTATAAATATTGTAATTTGATTGGATTAATTTGTTACCACTAACTTTGTTTTTTCTTTGTTTAATTTGTTTCAAATCCTTTAGCTTTCCTTGAAAAATTGTTGAATTGGCAAAACGAGAATCATCCGGTACCTATAAAAACATCCGTGGAATCGAAAGATGTTGAAATTACTAGATGCAGTAACTCGAATAAAACATCCGCGGAAGTCTCTGCGTCTGTAGATGATAATGACAAAGGTACATTCTGCCTCATAGACTCATTTCTTATTAGATTTTCAACGCAATGTGATAGTTCGTTGTAAAATTACTACACTTGGAAAATTTTATTTCTGTTTTTTGAATCGGATTTGCCTGAATTAGTACATGAAATTGTATCTTACTGTTATGCTTTATGTTCATGTTACAACACGATTAGAGTTTTCTAATCACATGGCTCAAGACACTCCGAAAACCAAACTGAAGTCCCCGGGTAAGTCACCACATCTATCAAGGAGTTCAACGTTAATGAAACCCACGGCGAGTCAGTTGGCAAAGCAAAACCACCAACGAGAGGTTCACTCCAATCGGTTATTAAGGAGGTGCCATTATTTTTCTCTGATGTTTCTGTTGTCATCAATGTATCTTTTGTTCTAATTGTTTGGTGGTCTAGTTTTCTAACTTTTCCCATTTTCCTACTCTTGATTACAGAGTTGCGAAAAAGCTCGGGAAACTTTATGAGAAATCACAGAATTCTCCGCCACCTACGAAAAGGCAGAAGTTGGAGGCTGGCTATGTACGCAAGGTGCACTTAGACAATTTTTCATTTGATAGTTTGGCATCTGTGATTTATTTTATCTTCGTTTAATCGCGTATGTGAATATGATCTTTATGACTATGAGCTTGTTACACTTAAGTCAAATGGCGTACTTAATCATGAAGTTCAATAGTTTATGAATCCTTTGCAAGAATTTCCGAGGGGCTCACGATATACTTGTGACGCAGGTTGCTGAACAACTCAAGCATCAACCTCTCTGGTTACATAAGGCGGCAAAAAAGGTAACACCAAAGAAGGATGATGTGCTTTCGATTGTGGAAAGGACATTTTATCTTCATTCGAAATGAGAAAAAAGTAGTTTTTCGTGGTGTCCTGCAGGTCGGAGCTGATGCTGCTAGACCTAAAGTTACAGTGCCGAAAGAACCAAACCTGGAAACAGCAAATCGAGCACAAAGACGTAGGTACATTCACTTCTTGCGTGGTTTTAGTAAAATATTTTGTTTGATCTATGAAGGTCTACCTACTGAGCTTATAACACTGTGATCGTCAGGTACAAGTTTAATGCCAAACCAGGAGAACAATCTAAAGTAAGTTGGTAGTCCTTTCAACGCTCAAATTGAAATTGTTCGTTAAGTTTGAAGATGTTGGAATATTATACGGTTTGATGATTTTTCGTTTTTTTTTATATTTTGATATGCAGATTCACAGGGATCCTCCATGGCCTAGCCCGAAAAAGAGCACAATACCAGCAGCAGAGTTTCAGGTAATCATAAAACGTTGTAATGTATTTCTTTGGTGTGTCTTTGCAAGGGAGAGAAACTTCGACAAAGCTGCCCTTGTTAGGCAGCGTGGGTCAGACGAGACCAAAATACATAAATGTTTCATGACATGGCTACACAATCCTACCAAACTTTTCTCTTACCAAAAGCAAAATGACTTGACTTGTGGTAACAAATGCACTGCATAACGTTCTTAATTTGATTACTATCAGATGTTTCGCCTTCGAACATCAACGCGAGCTACGCAACAGACATTTAATCACCATGTAACCTTCTGAAACTTGTCCGATTATGCGAATTTGAACTTACTAATTTTTCTCAACTCTTACGACGAAATAATATTGTCACTGCAGGTAACAAATGGACCTGATTCTAGTAATTTATCAGAAAATGAAACAACAGAAATCAAAGGGTAACTAAATCTGCCTCGTAGCTTGTCAATTCAATCCCATCTTGTTTCATTTAAATGTAGTGTAACCTTGATTCGTAGAATTTTTCGATCTTCAAAACGCTTGATATTTACTTTTACGGTTATCAATTCCAACAGTAAACGCTTGAAAATTAAGAATCGAAATAAATACAATTTTCCGTTCTATATAAGTAAACATGTCAGCAAATGAGAATCATTGTTGCTATTATATGTTTTGATATTACTGTTTTGCACAGGCCAAACTCCGTGCATGCCTTAAAGCAAGAGAAAAGTGAAATGATATATAAGTGCGTAGCATGCTCTCTTAAAAATAAGGTAAATCCAACTATGCCTTCTTCTTTATTTTTTTTTCATCTTTTGTATGTGAATAATTTTAATCCCATGCTTTAAATTGTATGCAGGAATTGAAGTTTGCAATCGAAAAGAGATGCCTAAAGGAGCCACCAACAGATTTATTTAGTAAGGTATGAACAATATCTAAGTGCAACAATTTTACGTAAGAACTTACATGCAACTGGAACGTCAAGATGACGGTAACAAATCAGTTTAAAATATCGCCACCAAAACATCTAAGAACATCTCCAATGGAGAAATGCAAACATCAGATTTACATTTCTAGGAGATGTAACTACCCCAATTGGAGAGATGTAAGTTTCAAATTCTATTTATTGCTCTCCCTTTGATGGGAGGGTCAACCTCCAAAAGATGTAAATTTATATTTTAATTTACATCTCATGGCAAAAATGAATAATTTACATTGCGTTATTAGAATGTCTTCCGGCCAACTGAAAATGTAAAATGTCACTTTCAAGGTATTTTGCCTTGTCCATTGGAAAGGCTCTAATTGCATGTAAGTTTTTCCTGTCGTATTTAATTTATTCAACTTTTCAACTGTTCAACTCCTCATTATCTTATCTTTAACATTTTTCAGCTCTCCCTTTCATCCGACGCACAGCATAATACAAAACCTCAGTCAAAAAGTGCCTTTGCCTGCTAAGATTAACCACTAATCTCTCTTCGTAAACGTGATTAGTGAAACTCAGAGTAGACCAAGCTCCGAATTTGTAATACTAATACACGATTGATTGCTTCCACTAATTGAATTAAGGCCACAAAAGTGAACAGGCCAAAGCTCCTTGCACCAAGATAATGAGGTAAATTATACGTTTATATCATCTACTATTTTCTCTGGCTCATTAATTTTGCTCCAGGAGCAGAGCATGAGATATATTTGACTAAACTGAATTTATCTTTCTGCGTAGAGCTCGTAGTTTCGTGATACGTAAATGGTTATTAAGCGGGTCCTAAGTTGTTGAAGACGGCAAAATGTTGTGAAGGAAAAATCGGTGGTTTGGCGCGGGAGCATTATATCATTGTGTGAGTAACAGGAGAGGAGACGATTGCTCGATTAGAAAACAAATTTTAGCATGATTTGGGAAGTTGGTTATCTTATATTGTGATCCTACAACACGAATTCTGCCTATGAAGTATAAGTTAACTTTGTTTTGGAATTATGAACAGAGAAAAAAGATAAAAAAAAAATTTGAATGCTTACAATCTGAATGGATGCTTCTTTTAATTTCTGAATTTTTTTTTATTTACTTTGCATGGGCCATATTGCTACAAGAGAATCGCACGATTTATTACGAACGGCTAGGATTAAGTGGTCTGCAGGACCCGCTCACAAGGTTCTAGAGAGGATCCGAGTCCAGCCTCGAGGGCACGAACTTGAGCAAATGGTCCTATCTAAACTAATCCTCTCTAACAAGCCAGAGATCTTCCAGTATGCTCAAAACACGAGATGGTAGATCATGTGTCACTATACATGAGCAAATTCACATAGGAGGCAAAGGCAATATTTGTCAACAGCAGTTTTTCACTTATTTACCATCCATCTGCCTTCTATCACACACTAATTTACTGAATAACGGCGTACAAACGCATGATATCAGACGGTTAAACCTGCTACTCATATAGATCCCTAGCAATAGCAATGAGTGAAGAAACAGTTTTGACTTGTACGAGAGAAGACAGTGAAACAAGCAAATCCGAGATGATCAGAGTGAACGACAATCAAATGATCACATGTATAGCGGTAAAAAGTTCGATTTCCACACAATAAATTCGTTTCAATTTAACAAGAACACAGGACAAGACAATTCATATATTCTAAAGGTGATACAGAGAGAAGCTAAATATTCCTGGAAGACAGTTGCACGACATGATTTTCAGTTCAACAACAAAAAGAAAATTTCGCACAAAACAGACGGTAAAAACAAACCATCCTTCCCTGCATCTGATGTTAAGATACCGGGTCAGCATTGTGCCAACCTTTGGTGCATGGAGGAATGCTCATAAATTCATCAAATTCCTTTACGTGAACGTCACAGCACTTCCACTGCAATACCAAAAGAAAAAACTGTTATTCAAATTATACATATTTATATAGGACTGAATTGACAATTATAGTAGTACACTCACCCCTCTCACTCTGTCGTGGAAAATAGCAGGCCCGGGATGGTAACTGCATGCATTCTCGTGGTTATCTTTCTCTTTGAAAGTTTGACCACATCCCTTATTCGTACACGTCTGGGGCTGGTTTATGTCAACAATCTTTTTCGGTGGAGCAGAAGTGCCTTGATCATCAGTAATGCTTTCTGGAATTGGAGTTGTTTCCACATTTACAGGCTTTGATTTTAGTTCTTTGGCTTGTGCACCTGGAAAAGGAACATCACTCAGCTGCTCGAAATGCAATACAAATTGCTAGAAATCAGGGATAAACTATTCAATCATTGAGAAGATTGTGTATTTTATGAAGAATAAAATACACAGCTAGTTTGATTCAAGAAGATTAAAACCACAACAAATCCAAATACACTAGGCCTTTGTTGTGTTTTGCATCTCCTCGGGGCCAACGACTGGTACTGACCAAAAAAACGATCCCAAAACCAGACGAATGGAATATTCATTATTTCCCCCAAATTGTATTTCAATCACCTTGTATCAAATCCTATTACAGTTACCTTTCTTAAATGGGATGTCATTAGTTCGCCAAAAAAGTCATTGTGCAACATTTTATGTTTTGAAACAAAAATACACTTACGAGAAGTGCCAATGACTTTTCTGGAGCGCCAAGAACATCCCCCTTTTAAATTTCCTATTACTGATATCTATAAATGTTAAGGATCATTACCACGGCCTCGGAGATTGAATTCACCAATCACAATGAGAAGGCAAATTACAATCTCTAATAGTTGTATCATACTTAGCATTCATGAACAATTAGATAACATGTTCAGAACTCTTGGGGGCTGTTTGGTATCCTTCTTGGATCCAATTTTTTGTTTTTGAAACTAATGAGTACTAAGTAATTTAGCTACATTCTTCATTTTTGAAACCGATAAATTGTGTTTTCAAATTGAATACAAAACAACCCCTTAGTTTTTTATACAATTTCCATGCAAAAATGAACCAACTTCCTGACACATTACACCAAGTATGAAGAATAGACAGTAATCAAATGCTGAAAGCAACAAGCGTCAAATGAAACAAACCATGTTCCGAACAGAAAAAACCCTGGCGACACCTAGAGCAGGACTGTTTTGACAATGCATCAGTAGCAGGAGCTGCAGTAGGAGCAGGAACAGGAGCCTTAGGCTTCGGCTTCGCCAACACTGGTTTCTCTGTTGTGTGTTTACCTGTCTTACATCTGCATTCACCAAATAGAGAAAAGAAAGAAAAGGAGACTTAAGTAACGAACTGAAACTAACAAAAATCTAAAATCCGCAATTAATTCAGGACTCAAGAATTCGAAAAACAATCAAAATTTGCTTCAAATGTCAGCGTTACAACAATTCAACTCCGTTGCGGAGTGCTGGGGCAAGCTTAATAATACTAGCGACATCGGTGCTTACCCTGGTAATTCTAAAAATAAGGTGAAATCATGACTTCTTTTCTTGCAACAACTCCACTCTTTAATCCCATCATGAAATATAGGCTGGGAAAAACAAACACATTGTGCTTAATTTATGGCATCGAACTAAACGCAAATGTAAAGAAACGCGATGTAACAACTAAATCAACAGGCAATACTTACTCCCTGAAAAGTTCGACGATGCCGATGCAGTCAGCCAACCCCAAACATGCAAGAAAACAAAACTGAATTAAAAGGCATAATAATTAAAAGCCTTCATAGTTTACAAAACAAGCAAGGGAACACCTTAATTAGATACACAATGTGCAGAATTTGGATCAATTAAACCCAAATTTAGTTTGAAATTAGTGTAAACTAATTACAAGGTGATTACTTTTAAGATTCAAGTCAGCTGTTGGGATATTGTAATTATTCAAATTGAACCGAAAGAAAAAGGGAAAACGATAATCTTCTTCGCTTCTCTCACATCCAAACCAGAGCACAGTAAGAGAGAGAGAGAGAGAGAGAGTACCGAATCGTGGTATTGACAGGAACCTTCAGGATTGTCGTCGTCGGAAAACATGGCGTTGCAGCCAATTCGCTGGCATTTCAACAGCGCTGTCCGCTGACCCTCCATCCTCTCAACTCCTCGATCTCTCTGTCTGTCTCAGAAAAATACCAGGAAAACGAGAAGGGAAAACAAGAAGAAGATGAAGGAAAAAGACGACGGAGGAGGAGGAGGAAGACCAAAAAAGAATGACTTGGAACTGGGTAAGTCCAACAAAGCTCAAAAAACAGATTCGTACTTGATATTCCCGGAAAGAGTCCGGATCCTTCCATCTAACCTTTCCGTCAGATAATTCGGACTTTTGAAATTTGATCAAATGACTAAAAACACATACTTAGTTTAAAAATTATAATAACTTTAGCCGTTAAATCAAATTTCAAACATCTAAATTATTTAATAAGAAATATTACGTAGAAATGATCCGGAAATAATCCTTGTGCCCACTCTCTTTTTCCTAGAAAGTACGCCCGCCTTGTGCCCTTTTACTTTGTCATCGGACTCGGGAGCCCATTGCCCCGTGACGGCCCGGCCCGCGAGAGAAAGTTCCGTGAAAATTGTACTTGTATGTTTCTCGTATCCATAGTCCTGTATATGGTGCAATGCGGCATAATCACGTTGGCTAGAGCAGCTGAAGCAGAACTGCTTCTGTATCCTAGTTCGAATCCTTCTTACCTAATTTAGATTCGTTGAGAATATTACCTATGTCTCGATATGATTCACCGACCTATTACATTTTATGTTGCCTTTTCCTACTAGAATTTACAAAAGAATCTTCAATTTAATAGATTTGGCTGTATAGGAAAATTTATGCGTTTTTAGAGATTAGAGGGTTCATAACTAAATTGAAAGTTGAAGGAAATATCAGAACACTGCTTCATAACATAAGGAAAATCATAGTATTTCTTCAAAAAAAAAAATGATTCTGAAGTCCATTTTTTGGGTACGATACAGTTTCCTAATAATCTCTAGTATTTGCAGCAACTTTTTTCTCCAAATAGACTACCATGCACACTTGAAGAGGAGCCCTACATAAAGAGTCCTATTTACAAAAATCCTCAAAAAAATTACAAAAATTATATGTTCTGTACACGATAATTCTCGAAGCAGGAACTGAACATCTTGAAGATATTCACAAATCATACACAACTGAATTCGTAACCTGGTATGAGTCATGACCGGATAGTTGATAGACAGGGAAGATCACAATATTCGGTTGTGCTGTACGTCAATCATCGCAGCTTTCTCCTGTAAAAGCGGAGAAAGAAGGAAATAAGCCAAGACTCGAACTGTGGATAGCTTTCAGATGCAAATTACAGTTTTAACTACTGAATGTATATCCATCCCGCTGCGCGGATATGCATTTTCAAAGAGAGATGGGAGGCATGTGCTTCAAAGAGGGGGAAAGAGAGAGACCTCGTTATATGGAGTTCCCTCAGAAGGAAACCAGCGCATAAGAACTCCTAGATTCATTATGGCAGGAGTCAGCTTAAACATGAGAGGAGTTGTAACCTGTAAT